CCCTCCCCCGGAAGGGCTTCTCTTTTATAGTGCGCAGCTTGCGGGGCTAGAACCCCACCACCCACCCGCCATCGTCTTAGTGCTTGTTGTGAACTTAAGGGGTCTTCGCCAGTGTGGGTAATGGCGCTTTTTGGCTGAGCGATTAGCGAACACTGGCCGGAAAAGTTTCATTCTGTTTGTTTGTTTGTCTGTCTGTCCGTCTGTACGCACGACAACTCGAGAAAGAATTGAGATAGCGACCTGGGATTTTCAGGGTCGTTTTGTATCATGAAAAGACAGATCGAGTTCGAAGATGAGCGATTTTTCATATTTCAAAACTTCTAGATGTCACAGGCGTTTTCCCTCAAAAACCGTCCGAATTTAGGGACAATGACTGTACTTCTTGGAGACCACACCTGAAGACCCTACTCATGCGGTGTGTAAAGTGTGCGACAAGAGTTTGACCTACAAAAGTTCCCCGTCCGCGCTCAGCAAGCACTTACGAAATTTGCACAACATTCATGCAGCAGCGGATCAAAATGAGAGCAGGTGAGTCCAAAGTGAAGCAATTGTTTAGTTTGTTCAGTGATGTGTACAAAGGGGGACCAGGCGCCGCCAGCACCCCGTCCCCCGGGACGGGGCATCAGATGCACGTGGCACGTGGTATTTGTTTCGGGTGTTACTGCACCTACCTATCCCTATCGCTGTCGCCCGCGCAGTACAAGTACTGCTTTGTGAAAGGGCACTCTGCCCTTTCCCCCCTTCCCCGCGGTGTTCTGATTTGCGAATGAAGTCAATTGTATACTTTTTGTTCATGTTTTGCTTTACTGACCGGGCATCTCGTTACAGGCAGGAGGTCCCCGATGACCCAGGTGAGGGGACGAGCTCAGGTCCGAGTGACCGACGTCGCAGTGGTGCTGACGTCCTCCGAGCCAGTGGCAGTGGTGATAGGAGCCGCAGCGGCAGCCCCGCGACCAAGCGCGCCCGAGCAAATGTTCGCCCCATGTCTCATGATCGCCATGAGGTGGTGACGCAGGCCATCGCAGGGCTGATCGCAGCGTGCCAGCTGCCGATTTCTGTAGTGGACTCAGCTTCATGGAGGTGAGTAACTTCCCCTCCCCTTCCCCGGTCCCGCCCTTCGCGTCACACTGCACACAGGCGTCTCACTAAATATTTTTCCCCTTCGCAGGTCCTCGAGCCCTCCTACAAGGTGCCGTGCGCGACGGCGATGCGGAAGCGGCTGCAACGAGCTGTTCAGTCAGGTGCGCGAGAACGTCCAGGTGGCTCTCAATGAGCTGGACTTCATCTCCGTCACCACCGACTGCTGGACATCGCGCGCCCTGGACTCGTACATCACGCTCACGGCGCAGGCCATCACCAAGACGTGGGAGCTGCGCCGCTACACGCTGTGCACGGAGGGGATGGACGTCAACCACTGGGGGGGACACCCTCACCCTGGCTCTCATCGACATGTGCCACAAGTGGGACCTGGAGGGTCGAGCGACCAGCGTCACGAGGAACACGCCACCAACATCGCCAACGCCGTCAACCAGGTCGACTTCGTTGAATTCAACGTGTCCTGCGCTGCCCACCTCCTCCAGCTCTGCGTCAATGACGGCCTGAAGAAGAACAAACCGTTCATGGACGCCTGCAAGAAGGCTAAGAAGGTAGTGGCCCACTTCCACCACTCCACCAAGGCCACCACGGCGCTCGAGGCGGCGCAGGTCACGGCAGGCCTGAAGGAGGCGAACCTCGTCCAGTCGTGCTCCACAAGGTGGGACTCGACGTACCTCATGTGCAAGAGCCTCACCGAGTCGCGCGCCCCCGTCTGCGCCGTGCTATCCGACCGGAACGTCACCACCGCCAAGCAGTCCCGGGCGCTGCAGATGTCGGCAGAGGAGTGGGCCGAGCTGGAGGCCATGCTGCCCGCCCTGAAGCCGCTGTGCTCTGCGCGGACGACAAAGTGACCGTGTCCACAGTGCGGCCAGTCAGGTCACTCCTCGACGTGCACTTCAAGCTCGAAGACGAGGCACTCCTAGAGCTGGACCCCTGCGAGGAGCACGTGCGCTACTTCAAGGTGGAGGTCAGCCGCTCGCTCACGGAGCGCTTCAACATGGCTGCTTCGGCGGTGCGGCCGGTCGAGGTCCAACAGCTCGCTGCCTTCCTGGACCCGCGGTACAAGGACCTGCGGGCCGAGCCGTCGCCTGCAGAGGCCGAGAAGATCCGCGATCTAGTCAAGCAGGCCGCACGGCCGCAGTGGCCGTGGACCTAGACGCCGAAGGGGAGGCGCCGGCCGCGGGCAGTGGCCTCGACTTTTTGTTCTGCGGGGAGGCGGAGGCTGCCGGCGCGCGCACCTGGCAGGCAGAGTACGCCGAGTACGTGGCGGAGCCCCAGATCAGTCACAACCAGTGCCCGCTCACCTGGTGGAAGACACGCCAGAAGCGGTACTTCACCCTTGCGCGGTTGGCTCGCCGCTACCTTGCCGTCCCTGCTACATCTGCCAGCAGTGAGAGGGACTTGGACTTCCCCACGGCGGGGAACACAGTGCGACCAAACCGCTCCTGTCTGCTGCCGGAGAACGTTTCCATTTTAGTCTTCCAATATCAAAATCGAAATTTTGTGCTCAAGATTCTAGGAATGACTAAATGTATTGTGACTGTTGTGTTAGCTGTATTTTTTTTT